TTATGGAGAAATCGCGTGAGGTATGCCCCTTGCCTATGGCCGATCCCTTGAGCCCTGGACATCCCTCACGCGATTTCAAAGAAGCAAAAAAATTCAACTAAAAAAAACTGTATTCTACAACTAGTCAGGCTTCCACATTTTGACGTAGGCGCTCATTCTTTGTCTTTCGAGCTACGCGATCTTCTTGATGATAAATTGAGTGCCTGTTTTGGAAAACTCACCATTTTTGATTCTGGTTTTTGATTTTGGTCTTGATTTTGATCAAAGTCAAATGAAGCCGTTTGCAGCCGAGAACCACACATCTGGACGAAAGTGCGCATAAGTTGTCCGAATAATCAATGTCAAAAATTCCAATACACTCAGCGTGATATTCCAATTTAGATCTCGAACGGCTTTATTTTTGTTGTAGAGCAATTAATATCTCCACTTTAGATTTCGAAAAATGTGTGAACTTCTGTTTTGAATCCAGCAAAAACCAAAGTTTGGCTACAGCTGTTGCTCACGACATAATCGAGCTATGCCTGAAAATTCATCCGTAACTTGTAAAAATGTTCTGAAATCATGAAAATTTGGTTGCCTACCTTTTTTTCAATCCGATTTTTTCACAGACGTTTTGTTTAAAATCCTTCAAGTTTTGAATTGTTGAAGTTACACGTCCTAATGATAGTGATGTAATTCTCACATTTTCAGATTCTTGATCGACTTCTTGTCTATCTAAAAAAGAAGCAGCATAGATGTCTTGTCTTTTCTCAATTTGTAGGCGTCTTAGATATCGTACAAGACCTCTTGGAGCTAAGAGGTATGATCGCTACACTTTTATTGAAATACAATGAATTCTGATTCAGGCTATGAGTACGAACGTCTGGATGGAAATGTTCCAGCTGAGGAAAGATTTCGAGCAATTAATAATTTCCAGAAAACAAAAAAAGCTAGAACAACACCCGGTAGGTATATGATTGTATCGTATAATATTCATCTTGCTACGACATTTTGCAGAGGATCCGTGGTGTTTTTTACTTTCTACCAAAGCTGGTGGCGTTGGCTTGAATCTTAACGCAGCCGACACCGTAATATTCCTGGATGCTGACTGGAACCCACAAAATGATATCCAAGCAATGGCTCGCTGTCATCGGATTGGACAGTCCAAGTGAATTTTCATCTTGCTTTTTTAATCTCAATTCAGTGCAATTATTTTAGACCGGTCCGAGTTATTTGCCTCATCGGCCGCTATACTGTGGAACAACATATGCATGCTCGCGTACGAGAGAAGTTGAAGTACACCGATAAGGTCATGGGAAACGACGGTGTGTTATATGGTAGTTGTCGGAGTAAATGAAATGTGTTCCTTACAATTACAGTAGCAAAACTGACGGCTGTAGATCTGTTATCGATGATCAAACAAAGTTTGGGATCACTCAGAGAGCAGAGGCAAGCGAACCAGCTGAAACTGGTAAGTGGGAGTGGCGGAAAGGGGGG